TCCAAATCGGGAAAGGAGTACGTCAAGGATGTAAATTGTCACCGTGCTTATTTAAATTATATTTAGAGTACATCATGTGAAATGCTGGACTGGATGAAGCACAAGCTGGAATTAAGATTGCCAAGAGAAATATCAATAACCTCCGATATGCAGATCACACCACGGTTATGGCAGAAAGTGAAGAAGAACTAAAGAGCATCTTGACGAAAATGAAAGAGGAGAGTGAAAAAGTTGGCTTAAGACTCAACATTCAAAAAACTAAGATCATGGCAACTGGTCTCATGACTTTATGGCAAATATATGGGGAAACAATGGAAATAGTGAGAGATTTTATTTTGGGGGGCTCCAAAATCACTGCAGATGCTGACTGCAGCCATGAAATTAAAAGACACTTGCTCTATGGAAAAAAGTTATGACCAACCTAGACAGCATATTAAAAAGCAAAGACATTACTTCACCAACAAAGGTCCATCTAATCAATGCTATGGTTTTCCCAGTAGTCATGTATGGATGTGAGAGTTGGACTATAAAAAAAAACTGAGCACTGGAGAATTGATGCTTTTGAACTGTGGTGTTGGAGAAGACTCTTGAGAGTCCTTTGGACTGCAAGGAGATCTAACCAGTCCATCCTACAGGAAATCAGTCCTGATTATTCATTGGAAGGACTGATGCTGAACCTGAAACTCCAATACTTTAGCCACCTGATGCGAAGAGCTGACTCATTGGAAAAGACCCTGATGCTGGGAAAGATTGAAGGCGGGAGGAGAAGGGGATGACAGAGGATGAGATATTGGATGGCATCACCGACTCAATGGACATGAGTTTGAGCAAGCTCCGGGAGTTGGTGATGGACATGGAGGCCTGGAATGCTGCAGTCCATGGGCTCACAAAGAGTCGGACACAACTGAGCAACTGAACTGAACTGAAATATGAAAAAAATATCACATTAATAGAGGAAAATGAATATGTAAATTTAACTGAGGTAAGGCTTCTGAGAGAGGGAAATAACCATGGTACAGATATAAATAGAGATATATAGATACACGCATTACGTTCGTGTGGTACTGATGAAGGAGAAGTCTGGCATAGAGGATGATGCCAGTAATGTGTAACTTTCATACAGTTTAGAAGCAATATTTCACTCTGCACATGTATGTCAGTACTGGGCAAAGCAATTGTTGGAAGAGAATAAACTGAACACATAAATCTAAAATTGATCACAGTAATTAAAGAAGTCACGAATAGAAATTTTACCTCTTTCATTTAGTTAAATTAAAATTTCAGAGAAACACATGAGCACTAAATGAAACTTTGAGTTCTCTCAGCTTTTTTTCCTGCTACTTCCTGCAATTAGACTCTATAAAATGAAAGGAGTTACACACTAGTTAGAGAAATTCCCATTTGATTTATTTATGTTGATGAATGCTTTATTTTTATTTATATGTCTCTGATCTTAACAGTGTGGGTCTCACAGGTCAGTGCTATGATAATAATCTATCAGAAAGATAGAAGTCTCTTGAAGTTTAAACAAATCTGTGTGTGTTACTTTTTTGCTGAGTTTTCTCTTTTGAGTGAATTTCTTGATTCACAAGTATAAGAATATTCAGTTAGCAAGGAAGCGATTAGGCAAAGAACCTGTCTTTGCTGTGAAATTTATCAACAAAAGTCAAGGTTGTAAGGATCCCAAAACATGGATTCTTGTAAAAATATTTAATGACCTTTCAGTGTTATCAAGATGATGATGATGATTTATGATACTAAGCATACATCTCTAATTCAATAATCCTTAACCAGGATAGCATAAAGTCATCCTTACAATAGAAGTGGAGAGTGAAGAATGCTCACTATAGAGCTGGTATAATTTCATGTGCCCTGAATGTGAAGTAAGAGAAAGGTGTAGAAGGCCTTATTCTACTTCTTATTCTTCTTCTTATTCAAGAAGGCCTTGTCGTTATTCAGCCAACAAACTCTTCTGCGTGAACGGAACTAATTCCTCCTAATGGAATTAAATTCACATTCTAAAAATGCAAAAGCTAAGAACTGCACCTTACCCTAAAGGACCTACACTTCCTTAGGAGGAATAATAAAGTGACCAGAGTGGGAGAAATGCAGTGAGATGGGGTTATTTCAGCCACTGGGTAAAGGAGGAATGAACTCATTTGCACAATATAAACGTGAGGAAAGGGACTGCTAGATCTTGGTGGTCTGGGTGGGCTCCATGTATCTGGTATCCATTAAGACCCAGAATTTACTCGAACCTATGGATTAATTCTCCCGCAGGAACTGAGGAAGCCGAGAGCAGCTGAGAGTTAATCAGGCACTGATCTCGCCCAATCCCTCTAATCAAACCCAGCTGTGATTTCAAACCTTTGCGCTGAGGTTCCCCGGGGCACTTCTGCTCCAGCCCTGGAGTGAACACCCTCGACTCTGGAAGGGCAAGGGAGAAGTTAGTAAAATAAAACTTCATGCCTTCAATCAAGGGAACTGAAGAACAGGACTGACCGGGATGGTCCCCTAATCATTTCTGTATTACTCTTTCCTCTTCCCAGCTGCCTGCCCCAGGAAGGCATAGGCGTTCCTTCTGAATGTTCGCTGGGAATCTTTCCTTCAAAAGAGGGATGCAACTGGAACAGTTGGCTCTCTATCCGTTGGGGAATCTCTACTTTGTCTCATGAAAAGTGGTTAGGTATAGTGCCTAACTACACTTTTAAAAAATTTTGTGGATCTGACAGTGGAATTTGAGTTTTTATAATAAAGATCACCCAGAATAAGGTGAACATTATTAACCTAGGTGTAAAGAAGTCAAAACATATTTGGTGTAAACATACTTGAACCCAGTCAGTTAATAAGTTTTAATTAAATACTTTACCAACAAAGCCGTATTTGTAATGTTTTCCACAAGGTTAGTGGTTTCACAGTTCCAGTTTGTTGATGCTATAAAGGACAGATTTGAGCACACTTTGGGAGATAGTGGAAGACGGAGGAGCCTGGCATGCTGGAGTCTGTGGGCTGGCAGGAGAAGGTCGGACACGACTTGCTGGCTGATCAACAGCCACAAGCAAATGATGGTGTGACGCAAACCGGCGTCGTTCCCTAGCGCGCCTTCTCCTTGTCTACCAACATCCATGAGGCCTGGTGTCTGTATCTCCGCCTGTACCGATTATCTTTCCAATTACTCAGCTCAGAAACTTGTCCCTTCCTCTCTGAAATTACTTGTATATCTCCTTTTCCGAGTAATATAACATTTCTGGACTTCTCTCTCTTTTAGAGTTACCCTTGAGTTGGGAAGATCCCCTGGAGAAGAGAAAGGCTACCCACTCCAGTATTCTGGCCTGGAGAATTCCATGGACTGTATAGTCCATGGGGTCACAAAGAGTCGGATACCACTGAGCAACTTTCACTTTCACTTTTGTTTTTGGGCATACTTTGGAGTTGGGACTTTGGTGCACACAGCATAATCTGAACATCACTTACTGTCTCTTGCCTTCAGCAATGAGAAACCATATTTTGCCTACTAGACTAGACTTCATTCTATCATTAAAATATCTTAGAATTCACCAAAGCATCATTCAGGCAGACACTGAATCCCTTCACCCTCCACTGCAACTTATGATAAAATTATAAAATGAAGTCATGATGGATAAAGCAATATCTGAGCTGATTATTTAAAAAAAGACAGAATAGAGATCATAGGCTTATTGATCGTGTGAACATATCTGAACTTCTCTGTGAGGCGGTGATTTGGCAGAAATGTTTAAGCTCCATCTTTAACTCAGGCTACAAGTGTAATAACTAAAGGAAGAGGCAAAGAATTGAGAAGAGGGCATCGGTGTCTAATTTAGAAGGAAGGTAAGGCCGCCATCCATGTAGAGCAGTTTCAAAGAATTACTTGATCATAGAAAAATGATAAAGGATAGATCAGTGAACCCATAATTTACTGCCTGTCAGGCAGCTGATTAAATTGAAATTACATGAAAGATAGGACTCCAGTGGACCCACATCAAAATCTGCTGTCTCAGAGCTGCAAAGTTTGTGGGGACAAAGGCAGAATGTGGGACCACTGGTCAGCCACAAACTCAGATCCTTGCCAATATGTTGGCAAGTTCTATAGCCAGAGAGAATTGGGAGGGAGGGGAGGATCCCCCAGAAAACTGCCTCCTGGTTTTCATTTGATGCCAGCAGAACTGGTAGGTCAACCTAGGGGTTGGCTGCACCTGTTCTTAATCACAGATGCCTGGCCTGACAGATAATGAGGGCTGCCCCAAGAATCTTTGATCACTGCAACAACAACAAAAAAAAGTTAAATAATTCCCCACTACTTTACAAGTAGAGACACATGGGGATGAGCAGAGCATAAAGTAACCAAGTATGTGGGGTGGGGGGGGAAGCCGTATAAAACACAACTTTTTAAGTCAGGATGACAGACTGAACACATTGTGTTTGTCTAATTTTCTTCCCCAAATCCTACAGAAATGACAATAAAGCTATTTAAAAATGGGGACCCCATGGTCATAGTAAGAATGAAGGACACAGGGGGCCATCAGAGATTTCAGAAAGTGAGAGCTTTCTTCTTTATTAACCTTTACTGGAGCAGAGTAGCTTCAAATGTTGTGTTAGATTCTCTGTCCAGCAAAGTGAACTCACTCTGTGTACACACATATCCCCTCTTCTTTGGGTTTTCTCTGCATTTTGGTCCACGGATCGCTGGGTAGAGTTCCTTGTGCTTTACAATAGGTTCTCATTAGTTACCTATTTTATAGATCTTGGGGTGGTGAAAAAGTTCGAGTTTTTCCATAAGATGTTACAGAAAAACCCAAAGGAACATTTTGGTCAACCACATAATGTTAATAGCATGTGTGTGAACCCTGGCCTTCCAACTCATCCCACCTCCCCTTCCCCTGCCAGTCACCGCACGTTCGCTCTCTATGTCTGTGACTCCATTTCTGCTTTGCCAGTAAGTTGATCTCTACCACATTTCTAGATTCCACATATAAACAATGTTACGTGGGATTTTGTTTTTCTCCTTCTGACACGGGGTGCAGTTTAGATGCAAAGGCCACATCCAAAGTCGGGTTGACGGGCCTTTCTTCCTGGCACTGGGGAAGCTGGTTGCAAGGTGAGACCTGGGGAAGGCAGGGAGCACGAGTGGGCTGCGGAACAATGAGAGTCCGGCTTAGCAGGGAGCCAGCCTCTTGGGCCAACGCCGGCCCGACCTCCAGGAAAGGGCAGCAGGCAACTGCTGCGCTTCTTCCCGGCGGGAGCCCTGGAAGCTGCTCTCTGGTTAAGCAGAAGACTCTGGGGACACAGCTTCTGGTACAGATTCGGACCTGGAAGAAGTTCAGGGCAGAGGCTGAGCTATTCTCTCTCACAGCACGCCCACAGGAGCGTGTCTCCATCCAGAGGCGAATTACACCGAAGAAGCCCAACGCAGAGCGCATTAGTGTCCAGTGGCAGCTGAAACAAATCACTACACAGGTCGTGGCTTAAAATAACACCGGTTCATTATCTCACAGTCCTGCAGGTCAGGTGTCTTCAACAGGACTCATCAGGGTACAGCGGCAGCAGACTGTGCTCTCTTTGGAGTCTCTGTGGGAGGTTCTGTTTCTGGAGGCGGGCTGCATGCTTGGGCTCCTGGCCCCCTCTTCCTCCCTCAAAGCCACGAGCAGAGCATCTCCAAGTCTGCCTCTCACTCTGACGTTCCAGCCTCTCTCCGGTTTACAAGACTCTTGTGATCATATTGAATCCTCCCCAAATGACTCGGGGGAATCCACCCATCTCAAAGTCTTTCACTGAATCACATCGTCAGAGTCCATTTGCCACGTTGTTTGTTGCTGTTGAGTCACTAAGTCGTGTCCGGTTCTTTGTGACCCCAGGACTGCAGCGCGCCTGGCTTCCCTGTCCTTTACTATCTCCTGGAGGCTGCTGCCGTGTTAGGTCCCATATTCACAGGTCCCAAGGAACACGACCTAGACACCTTTGCGAGGGGAGAGGCTTTGTTCTGTGGTCCTTAACGTGGGGTTTAGAAACCACCTGCGTTCTCTTCATCCATTCAGTGGAAATGGAAATCTGAGTGTGGGTAAGACTCAGGATCTTTGAGATAAACATGATCTACCCAGCTGCAAAAGAAACCCAGCTGAGTGGCCTATGCAGACATAGCTCGTCACTCACATATAATTGGTTAACAATTTCAGAAGAAAGAGCATTAACTATGTGTTGTTAAGTTGTTGTGTTTGCTCAGTTGTGTCCGACTCTTTGCAACCCCATGGACTGTAGCCTGCAAGGCTCCTCTGTCCATAAGATTTCCCAGGCAAGAATGCTGGAGTGGGTTGCCATTTCCTCCACCAGGGGATATTCCCAACCCAGGGATTGAACCCACATCTCCAGTGTCTCCTGTATTGTCAGGCAGATTCTTTACCTCTGTACCACCTGGGAAGCACTATGTGTTGTAACGTTAATAGATAAATGTATTGGAGCCCTATTATAACCAGGTAGAGGGGTAAATTGCAGAAATGTAAGTATCAGGTCTCAGTATCATGTAACTTACATTCTGTTGGGGTAGACAAAAGAAAATGATTTGTTCGCTTGTTCCTTCCATGAACATTTATTGAGTATCTTCCTTGTGCTTATAACTGCCCTGAATATAACAGGGAATAAGACAGCAAAGTTCCTACCCTCATAGGATTACATCCTAGTATGGGGAGACAGACATACGCTTTAATGTATAGAACTATATCTAATATAATACATTAGATATATTTTATATATATGTATAGGCACAGTAGCAACCCAGTCCACATTCTTGCCTGGGAAATCCCATGGACAGAGGAGCCTGGTGGGCTACAGTAAATGGGGTCACAAAGAGCCGGACACAACTTAGTGACTAAACAACAAATTGGTGATAGGAAGAAAAATGAAGATTTTTAACCTTACCATAAAATTTTTAGACCAATCTGGAGAATTTTGACAGTAATGGGAAATATTATTAGACCTGATGTCATGACAAGAATAATCTGGGACTTCCCTGGTGCTCCAGTGGCTAAGACCCCCACCCTCCCAATGTCGAGGGCCTGAGCTCAACTCCTGGTCAGAGAATTAGATCCCACATGCCACAACTAAGAAGGCCGTGTGCCGCAACAAATCCCCATGAGCCGCAACCAAGACCCGCATAGCAAAATTAAGTGTTGAAGAAAAGAGAAAAGTTTACTTACAAAAAAAAAAAAGAAGAAGAAGAACCTGGGATTATCCCAGGCAAAAAGGGAAGAATATTCACTCTAAGTGTGTGTGTGTGTGTGTGTACTTGTGTGTGTAGTAAGACAGCAGTGTGTTTCTAGATTTCACAGTTGGAGAAAGTCTCATTGACGCACAAGCTGCTTTTCTACAAGAAAACTGAAGGCTGCTTTAAATCCAGGAAAAGCCTTCCCAAAGAGGTGACATTTGTGTTGAATCTGAATGACAGGAAGAAACCAGCCATGCACATATCAAGAGAAGCACGTCCAAGAGCTTTTACTTCTAGTCATGCCTAATAACGGGGGCTTCCCATGTGCACTAGCGGCAACGAACCCGCCTGCCAATGCAGAAAACATGAGAGATGCATTCACTCCCTGGGCCAGGAAGCTTCCCTGGAGGTGGGCATGGCCACCGACTGCAGTGCCCTTGCCTGGAGAATCCCACATCAAAGGAGTCTGGTGGGCTACAGTCCCTGGGGTTGCAAAGGAGTCAGGCAATACTGAGCAATCTAGCACACATGCACACGCAACTAATAAGCTTCTCGCTAGGACTAACTTCATATAGACAAAGATAAATTCTAGGTGAAATGCAAAAAATAATTATCAGGAGACCCTGAAGAATGACCAAAACATGACAAAGATGAGTGAGGGCTGACAAATGAATGGTATTAAAAGTTTTCCATATTCATTGCTTCTAGATAAAAGCATGATCTTTCTGGGTCATATTGGGGTTGAGAGTGGATGGCTCAAACTTCCTTAGAAAACCCATAACAATTCTAGTTCGATGATCCGAAGGACAGAGTTGGGGTGGTTTTATAAGAATACAGAATCCAAATGTAAACTAAATGTGCCATGATTTAGAGCAACAGGTGGAATGCAAAAAATATATAATTAACTTGTTCTGACTCCCTGGAATATTCTTCTTCTCATAGAAGAATAAAAAGTTCTTGGGTGGGCCTAGAGACAGTCGTAGAGAGTGAAGTAAGTCAGAAAGAGAAAACAAATACCGTACGTTAACCCATGTACGTACAATCTAGAAAAAAATCAGTATAGATGATCTTATTTGCAAAGCAGAAATAGACACACGCATATAGAGATCAAATATATGGAGACCAAGAGGGAAAGGGGGCTGTGGGATGAACTGGGAGACCCGGATTGACATACATACACCGTTGGTATATGTATAATGCATAACTAATGAGAACCAACTGCAGAGCAGAGAACTCTGCTCACGCCCTCCAGTGACCTTAATGGGAAGGAAATCCAAAAAGGAGGGGGTATGCACGGATAGCTGATTCACTCTGCAGTACAGTAGAAGCTGATACAACATTGTAAAGCAACTATACTTCAATAAAACCTTTTTAAAAATGAATCTGATGAATTAAAAAAAAAGAATAGAAAGTTCTGAGTGCCCAGATAAAGATCACAATCCCCAGATCCCCTGCAATTATGCATGGTCATGTTACTTATTTCTGATTAATGTGGTGTAAGTAGGCGCAGCAATGACAATGTCAGAAAGTGTCCTTAAAAAGTAACAGCCATGGACCCCTCTGAACCCTCGTCTCCTTCTTACTGGATGAAAAATTAGTAACACAAGCAGCCACATTTGAGAATGAACTGCTCCACCAACCTCTGGATGTTTTTTCTTTAAGAGAAATATGCTCCTATTTGTTATCACACTATTACTGAGAGATCTTCTGCTGTTCACGAATAAATGTCTGATGCATCCATTTATTCGTAAATTATTTCCATGTGTGCTTTCATTAACTGCATTATAAATGTTGAGGACAACATTAGCATTATTCTTTTGATAATTTTCTCCAGAGGACACTGTGGTTATGAAGATGCTGTGTTCAAGAGAACCGTGACATTTTACAGAAGATGCTTCAGTGATTTTACAAACACATGAGTCACCATTTTAAAAATATACATGATTTACAAGCTAACTACCTTTCACACTGTGTCAAAAACAGGTGTGTGATATACAAAATGTTTGCTCTTTGAAACATGATTATTTGTGCTGTAGATTGAATGCATCCTGGTGAAAATCCTCTAATAAAATATCTATTGTGTGATGTTTTCCTGAAACTGCAGAGTAGTGATTTAAATCTGCAACCCTATATTGTCTAGTTTAATAAACCAAGCTGCCCTGGATAGTGTAAAGCCAAACAGAAACATAGGAGTTGCAGCAGGTTGGTATATAGGTAAAATTGCCACTGCCATTTATAAGCCATGAGTTCAGAGATGTCCCTGTTAACCAAAGTGACCTCATAACTCCCACTGAATGATTCAGTAATAATCACAAGTTATAAACATCAAATTTATTAAATAAATATGCTAATAAAAGAATTGGTTCATATATTAAGATTTCAAGTAATTATCTGTAATTATATTTTTTCCTGTGAAAAATCTGAAAATCATGGCGGCAACACAGGAAAACGTCTTAAGTAAACGTATTCATTTTCTGCTTGATAAAAAGAATTTTAATGTTGAACAGTAAAGATTAACTTTATTTTTTAAGAGAAAAATCTTATCTTCAATGTAATAGTATTCATATGTTTTACGTTATACAATGTTGTAAATCAACAGTACTCCTATATAAAAGAAAAATTAAATTTAAAAATGTTTACATGTTAAACATCAAAATTTAACTTCTTTTAAATGTACTTGAAATGAGTAGAAAAGCGGGTGTACATGTGAATGTAAGTATATTAAATCATGTTGATTATGCCAAATCTATAAAATATAGGGTAGTTATATTATATTACTTGTAACACGAATAAAAAGAGTAATTTGGATGATTTAGTTAACCTACTAAACATATAATATCTGTCTGCAAAGTTTTCTAAAAAGTTGCCAAAAGCTAGTTATGTCACTTATGGAATTCTGTAATTATCTTTCAGATCTCCTTTCAAATAGCCTCTGGCTTCATGATTCATGAGGACCGTTTCTATTTTCTACAAATGCTTATTAACAGTAGCCAAGTCATCTTTTCTCTCTACCCATCAACATCTCAAAGAAATCAGAGTTATCAATAGTGGACAGTCATCTCATTGAAATTTATGGACTTGCCTCTCAATGGTAACAAAGTCTTTTTTAAA